TTTTTTTTTTTTTTTTTTTTTTTTTTTTTTCCCTCGCCCACCGGTTCTGGCGATGTCGCCGAGGGCACACAGGGAAAGGGAGGGATCTTCCGAGGGGAGGACCTACGTAGGGCTTTCCGGAGACCCGTGCACCACAAAACCGGTGAGGTGGTCCCATGTCGCAAGGCGGTTCTTCTACCCCTCGGGCCATCCGATGCCCTACCTCTCAACGGATCATGCTTTCCAGCGGTGGGGATTGATTTAGTGGAGATGCAATTGATAAAAGTGTCATTCGTTGTCAATAGCCCCTGGCTAAGGCTTTACCAGGCTTTAGTAGGCTCAGGTCAGGTTGGGACCGGGACTCGATGAAATCCGACCCATCTCACCGCATACGTAGAACCGGGGGGTCGTTATGGGAGTACCGGGGGTTGTCGCACCGGGCCACACCTCCCCCGGAAAACCGAGGTGCTCAGTGCCTGTGAGGCATGCAAAGAGTTACCACAGTGATAAAAAAAAAAAACCTAACGATGTTGCCGAGTAACCATTGACAGGACGCCCCATCATTATTTTTTGAAGTACAAGCATTTACGGTAGTTTTTGCTACCTTGGAGGAGGCCCCGCTCGGAGCGCCCCCGGTTGTCGAGGAGTCGACGGTGGATTCGAAGACTAAGACAAATGGATGGGCATTATTGTCTTGTGCATACACATGCGTCCATAGTGCTCCTCTCTCTAATCAAAAAAATGCTTCCTGGGCACCCAGTGAGAGGGTAATGCAATACGCGCATGCGCGTGCGTCGTGCGTCGTGCGTCGTGCGTCAAGCCTGCCACTTAGCAAAAAAAAGCTTGAATGTCCTTTCCGCAGACCCGTGCACCATGCACCCTGCCATACTTCGATCCATCGGTACTAACTACTGGCGCCCCTTTACATATATAATTTCCAACCCCCCCAGGTCCTCACTTCGCTGTTTTTTTTGAAAAGTCCCTATTTCACCCACCACCTGCGGGCGTCCACTCCCCAAACCCCCCTTTTGGTCATCACCCCCAGCATCATATTCTTTTTTTTATTCATCTTACACCTTGTTCCTCCTAACTCAGGTCTTGACGTTTCAGTCTCTCTTCAGACGTTCCTGTCTTGATTAAATACAACCAGTTGGTCCAAGGAAAAAAACCAAACCCTTACTGCATTCTTTCATTTCGTTGTTTCGTTGCATCCCTTCGTTTCAAAAATTTATCCCAACCAAACCTCCCCCTTGCATTCGTTATATGGCCCCCCCCAGTGACCTTCTAGCATGAGCTCACCAGACTTCTACCACCATGTTCGTGTTTCTCAAGCCTCTGCAAAGGCCCAGGACGTCCGCGTCCAACTAGCAGAGTATAAGGCCCACAAGGCTCACGTGGATGAGTACAAACTCGATATCCACCATCATCTTTTGGACTTGGACACCAAGACCAGACCCAACTTGCACCTTATCCAGCAGCAGCCGGAGATCAACCTACGCATGCGTCCGCTCTTGCTTGACTTTTTGATGGACGTGATCAACAAGCTCAACTTGAGTAAGCTGACCTTCCCCTTGACCGTCAACATCATTGACAGATACTGCTCCGTCCGTATTGTCAAGAAACAGCACTACCAGCTTTTGGGCCTCACGGCGCTCTGGATTGCCTGCAAAAACTTGGACTCCAAGTTCCGCATCCCCAGTCTCAATGACTTGTGCAAGTACTGCTGCCACTGCTACGACAAGAAGTTGTTTTTGGAGATGGAAAACCACGTTTTGAAGCTGTTGGGCTGGCTTGTGGATGCGCCCACTTTTGACGCTTTCGTCGACTTGTACATCAATGCCTTGGCCCTGTCTCCTTTCTTAGCCGGCTCTAAGAACCCCCACAAGGTCTGCAACGACGTGAAGGTCGTGGCCATCTACATCTGTGAACTCATCCAGTTCTACCCCAACATATACTTCAACTACCTGCTGCCCAAGATTGCCTTGATGAGTGTCGTGCTTGCGTGTCTTATCCTCAACACCAGTGCCGACTTCACCACCCATGCTTTCTTGACCTACGTTGCCGTGGAGACCGAGGTGCCCATTGTCAACCACTCCACCTACAATGCCGCCTTTGGCTTGCTCATCAAGGTGCTCAAGTGTCCTCCTCCTTCGCTCAAAACCAAGTACTTCAACGAGGACCTGCGCTTCCTCAACCTCATGAAGCAGCTTGTGGCGTTCACCTGGAAGCACTTGGCGCCCAACTCGGTGTTTTCCCACACTGGTGCTGCCCCTACTTCGAGCGATTGCGGTGCCATTGAGCTTAATACGCCTGTTTCCAGAGACGAGCCTTCGAGATCTCCTACAGGCAGCTTTGGCGGCCTGGTGACCCCGAAATTCTACCCGGCCACGCCCATCTCGCTGAGCATCAGCCCGAAAAACCAGGAGGGCGGCTTTTCCGAGCCTGTTCGTCCGGCCTTGACTCCCCAGGTTTCTGCACCCGTCACCTCGCACCCAGGCTACGTGAAGCCGTTTGGATTGCACCAGTTGCTGCCCAGAACACAACGGACGTTGCCGCTGCCCAATCTTCTGCCGGCCGAGCTGGACAGGATGTTTGGCGGCAAGCGCAGCTACGAAAACGCCCATGCGCCGGGCGTCAAGAGATCCAAGAGCATGAGCAAGGCTGTCTTTTACATTCACTAGACAATACAGACATAGGATGATGAGGTGTAGCAATTGCCGGGTAGGCAATGGTAGAGTAGGCAATTGCCGAGTAGGCAACTGCCGAGTATGATTGGTAGAGTTTTGTGGCGGCTGCTTTTTTGTGGTAATCGCTTAAGTGAATTCAGACTTCCTAGTTTTGTGACTTTTACGCCCCGAAATCGACGACGAAATCTACGAGGTCAATTGCGTGGATTGTGATTTCCGCTCAATTGAAGAATTTTCGAGTTCTAGCGCTGGCGGAATTGGCGTGGAATTGGCTACGGCTGATTTGTGGACTGACTTTTCGTTTTTGCACCCATCCCCAGGTGAATTCCACCACCCAGAGCCCCAATTCCGGGCCCACAGCCCTCGATTCTGTAGTCGTCAAAATCTACCTTTTATTGTCAATCCACATTTTCAATAATCCTCCAACTCTACATCCCCAACGCTACATCCAATAATCTCATACTCTCCAACTCGAAAAGCTACAAATGCAAACCCACCGCCCGGCCAGAAGCCTAACATCGATCGACAGCCTAAACTGGCGAAGCTCGTCTAACTCCGGCTGATCGCTTCCGTTTCTGGAAAATCGCCTTTCACACGCCAAACCCACAAGCTTCTTGTCATCACCACAATCGCTCCAACGACAAAGTACCCTCTTTCCAGCCGTACTGCCTCGTCTGGGCCGCCCTCAAGAAACACCCTATTCGCTTCCAAGGCCTACCCCCATTTGACTTCCTCTTTGATCTGCATTCCCTCATTTGCCATAAATGTTTGGCGGCCTCTACTATGGCGGCCTCTATTGTTCTCTTCACCTACATAACCCTAATTGGCGCATCTTCAGCGGCCCGTTCTGAAGGCCCATTGTGCCCGTCTTGAAATCGAACAAATGGCGACTTTGGCTATTGTGTGCCCTGGTCAATTGATAAATGTCGACACCTGGGTTCTCGGCCTGGGGGTGGCTCAAAGCCAAGTCAGCATTGTGGCAGGGTCTCGATCGTGCAATTTCCGAGCCTCCTTGGACCACGAGCCCTGCTGGCTGCAAAAATAGACATGAAAAGTGGAAAGCCGCTCCAGAGCTTCAATCCGTTTTTTCGGTTTTTTCGTCACCCCCCAATTGCCCTTTACTTTTTTTTTTCAACGCTTGCGGAGATCCAGACGATCCAACGTCCTAAGCTCTCCCATTGTGCGGTTTTTCCAAGTCGGGACCTCGTTGTTCTGCCCGAGTAGGCTTCAACCAGCATTGTTACATTCCTAAAGTTGCCCGGATCCCCACGCCCCTCTGGACCCTGGATCATCTCGAGGTCGGGCAAGTCCACAAAGCCAATTGACGTTTTTCTCTGGTTCTTTTCTTTTTACTTCTACCATCTATAAACCTTGTATAAACTGGCCACCTTAGAGCATGGATGATGGCCGGGGCTTAGCACGACTTTTTCCGTCAGTGTCGCTATTGTGAACCCCTCGTGCCTTCGGATCTTTCACACTCTCTTCTCTCAATGCGCTCTCTTTATATGCGCTCTCTCTACTTGCGTGCAGCGAATGGGCAATATCCAGGCGTCCGATCGGCAAACAATTTCACAGCGTGGGGGCTGCTCTAGACCAATTCAGCCTTCATTCTTGATACTACTACTCGCCCCCGAGAGCCCTCCGTATATGGTTAGTGTCGTGGTGCACCGGGGGTTGCATCGTCTAAAGTTAAGTGGGTTTATTGGTCAGGTACACCATGCATACTGCTCCTATTGAGTCGCCGGCGGGTCTGGAAAAATATCCTTAGACCCACAGGACGATATTATCTGGGGGATCAAAAAAATACATGGGGCAGCGGCTTATCTGGCGGATTTATCCATCCGAGAAAAGACGATATTTTTGATGTTCGACGTGTCGCTAATCTCGAATTTTTTTCAAAAATCACCTTATGGTGGCAGCGGGTTTTAGGCCGAGTAGCGTCAAACACGAACCCAGGGCATTTTCACCCGAAGGCGAGGCAGAGACATTTTGAAGCAAGACGAAAAAAAGAAATATCACGCTATCTGGTAACTGATAAGTCCTTGTTGCTTGCTCAATTGCTTTTCGTCTTTTTTTCCACTGGTGATAATCGTAGAGCCACACCACAAATAGGCAGCCCTGGTGTCTCCTGCATCAACCACCCATGAAAAGAAGTCTAGATCGGAAAACCACCAAAAAACAGGCCCTTCCGGTCAATGAATACGCTGGATTTGTCGTCGAGGGTCCCGCAATCGAGACCGTGCGTCTGAAGCAGGGCTTTTTTGAAAAGTTTGTTGAAAAACGGACGCCTGTGAAGATCATCTCCCCGGAATTGGTTCCGGTGGACATCTCGGCTTTTCGAAGTGACAGGATCCTCGAGACCTTGGCGGAGGCGAAAATTAAAAAGCTCCAGGTCGAGAGAAAGCACGGTCTAGGCTTTGGGCTGGGGAAGAAGCGTGAGGAGTTGGCGTTTAGTGAGATTGTAGGTAAGTTGGCCAGTGGAGACGAAAGTTACTATTTGACGACGCAGTACGAGTCTCATGAGTATGAGGAGGGCGACGGTGATGGTGACGGTGAAGAAATTTTAAGTTTAGAGGATGGGGAAGAAGTGGAGAATTCCGTCAATGAGGGAATTGACGAGGACGATGAAGACGATGACGATGAGGACGATGAGGACGATGAAGCAGGGGATGAAGCAGGGGACGGAATCCCTGCCGCCAGCCTAGATTCAGACAACGAGTCCATCAACTTCGAAAACCTCCATGACGACTTCGACGATCTCGAAAACGCACAAGACGACTTCGTCGTTCCAGAACACAAACTCACCCAGGACGAGGTCGACTTCCGCATCAGCACGCTTCTCCAGGCTCCACTCACCGAACTCTACAAAAAAAACGACTTTCCCTTGGTTCCAGACATCTTTGGACCGTTGATCCCGCAACAGATCAACTTGTGGATGGGCGCATGCAAGAACGGTGAAAAGGCAAAGCCAGAATTGAAGAACATCACGAAAGAGAGTCTTGGCAGGTACGTTCCCAAGGGCAACTCGTCCGGTCTTCACCACGACCATGCAGATAACTTGTATGTGTTGGTTCAGGGACGCAAACGGTTCACGCTATACTCGCCCAGAGACGCTGAAAAACTCAAGACGGTGGGCGAAATAAGGCGTATTTTCCCCAATGGCCTAATTGACTATAAGGTTAACGAAAAAGCCCGTTTTTGGCGCCCTATGCGTGAGGACGGTGCCATGTTGGGAGAGTGGGCTCGGTGGATGATCGAAAAGGGCGATTTTCTGAAAATCTCCAAGGAAGAGCTCGAGGAAATCATAGAAAACGACGAGCCTTTTGCAGAAAACGGCGAATCCGACCTAGATCCTCCAAGCTTCTCAACAGTTCCTCCGCTTCTTGCACACCTAGACGAGGTTTCCGAGGAAGATCGCAAAAAGCTCGAGATCTACGCCGAGGCGAATTTCCCAGGATTCCTTGATCTTCACAAACTCGAGGTCTGGCTAGAACCAGGCGAGATGCTCTATCTCCCTACAGGCTGGTTCCATGAAGTGACCAGTTTGGCTGAAGGTTCTGGAGGCGCTCACGTGGCATTGAACTGGTGGTTTGTTCCGCCTACGGGGGAAAAGGAAAATCCTTACCCAGACAACTACTGGAAGGAAGATTATGACAAGACTTTGGCAGCGATAGCTTATCAACGAGCAGGTCCTGCGTAAGCGCATCGACCCCGCGTGGCGGCATAAACGCATCGCATGGCGATGACGCACGTACTTTTGTCCCCTTAGGGTCGCAGCCCTTCTACCACGTGACCCGCACCGACGAGCCCTTCGATGAGGGCTTCCACACGCACTGTCAATATGTACAGTCACGTGCCCTTGCATGACTCGCAGCCCTAGAGCACCGACCTGGTCCACGCACGACCTGCCCACTTTCTGCGCGATAGCGGCCCGCATTATCTCTAGAATCTGTACCTTAGTCGCTGTGACTGCTTTTCGCTGCTGTAGATAGTGGGACCACCGGCTTATCTGCAGGTCCCAACCACCAAAAAAACCGTCAAACCCACAAATAAACCAACCGTAGGTCATATTTCAAATGCCTTAATAACCGTCCCCCATTAAAGCCCCTCTCAGGGTCAGCCCCGCTGGCACAAATTCCAACCCTCTACAAGTCACGTGATATTCCATGTAGTGCGATTCATCACAGGATAAGCCTTGCATAGAAAAAAAAAACCATCTTACAGTTTTTCCATTTTCCAGAAACCCACCCGTGCTACGGCGCTTCTGTCCATATTCATTCTCCGGCTCCCTAAGCAGAGAACCCCCGCGAAAGGCTATTTTTGTATCCCGTCTTCGCCGATCCACTTTCAGTATGTTTTACTTCCTTATCCTCAGGTGAGTCTCGATCTGAAGCAGAAAAAACGATAGTTGAGTTTTTGAAATTTCGTAAAAAACGGTTTCAGGATGACGGACTTGGCTGGGCTGTGATTCCCGTGGTGTTTGATTTGTGTCTTTTTGATTGCTAGTGTTGTTTTATCAGCACCTCAGCTTTTTGCATCCACGCAGAGCTGTTACAATAGAGATGATTCGTGGAATTGAGAGCATGAAAAACGTCAAGTTTTCAGTTTTTGATTCGTTTGAAGATTTCTCTTGGTAACGACTGTGTGGGGGCGTTTGGCTTGATTGCTGTGATGAGTTGTCATGATGAGATGACGTGATAGCATGAACAATAGGAGAATCAGCAAAACGTGTTCCGCCGGGAATTCGTCCAGTCTACCTGTCACAAGGGAATCTACGCCTATTGAGTCGAAAGTTTGAATGTTGAAAGTTTGGATATCGATTGTTGGTGATGTGGACTGCAATGGTACAGTATACTGTTGATAGACCATACACCCGATCAACCAGACCATCCAATACTCCACCAAACCGCCAACTCCACGAATTGACTCAAAAATCACCAAAATCCAAATCCAACTCCATCCGAACGTTCCGTCAAATCAACCCAAATCCACCCACCACCTTATCGCTTCCCCTACTAACCCCAGTTCTTCCCAGTTATTAAGTTAGCTGGGCCTGTATTACTTCCATATATGTCCCCTTAGGGTATGGCATTGGCAGACAAAAGACCTCTTGGCGTCCCAGTTACTTCACACGCTTCAGCGTATCCGATGAAGTCGACCATCCCAGATTTAAAGGGCGTTGAGACGGCAGAGCAGGAGGTGTCTCGCCGGGGCTCCCCTAGTCCCGACGGCCTGGGAGACCTTCTGCCCACATCCCGCCTGATTCTGCCTGACTCGTTGATGCAGCAGAAGAAGCTGCTGACTCTGCTGTTCAGCTCCCGTGATTCCACGCCCCAGCCGTCGTACTACGGCTCGAACGGCGGTGTTTTCAAAAAAGTGAAAGTCCCCAGTAGGGTGCCCATAGCCACGGGGATCCTGACCACGATTCCCGTGACGGGTGAAAAACCGAAACCTCAGCAGGAGGGCGACGCCTCGTTGGAGGACGACGTGCTCTATGCCATTTTTCTTATTTTGTACGAAAAGGACCCTGCTGGCGCCGGCATGACGGTGAAGCAGATCTGCGATGTGCTTGTGGAGAGACACCCCGAGATGGCCCAGTTGCTGTCGAAAACGTCCAACTTGGTGAGTGCCAAATTGAATGCCTATGTTAAAAGAGTGGAAAAGGGCGATTCCAATTTGCGTTATGCTCTTTCCCGAGAATGGGCCGATGCTTCGCCAAAACGCATGGTGTATGTCTACCGAGGCCTTTTGGCGAAAAACTTCCATGTCAACCTCCCCACGCCCGGCACCCAGCCCAATTCCGTGGTCAAGCCGCCTGTTTCCGATAGCCTTGAAGCGGCAAAGCAGCTGGCGATGCTGAAGCCTCGGCGGTCCACCATGTTCGATTTGGGTGTTTCCAGACCAGCTTTTGTCGAAAGCCCCATCGACCGGTCCAACTTGTTCGTGCCGTATGCGCTGGCGCCCGTGGCGGCCTCTTTGACCGAAGTCAAGCTGGAGGAGCCTCGGAAGCAGCAGGAACAGGTGGTTGCAAAAAAGAGCGAGGTGGATGTTTCGGAAAGCGCCGTCAAGAAGGACGACGAGTTCGACTTTGACGACTTGGAGGTGTTTGACGAGGCCGACGACGACGACGACGAGATCGATTTCGGCGACGTGCTCAAGAAAAACGGCAAACGCTCCAAGTCCATGTCGTACCTCACCTCGAACAAAAAGGCCAAATTCTTAACCGCTGCCGCTGCCGCTCCTAGAGCGTCAAAGGCTCCTTGTTCTCCAAGCCCCAACGCTGCTGCCGCTGCTGCTGCCCTCCATGCTGCTGCTTTGAAAGCCATAGCCGCTGCAAACTCAACCTCCTCCTCGCTGGCCTCCTCCTTGGCCTCGTCTTCAGGCACCTCGCCAGCGTCCCTGGTTGCTCCTGAAGCTACAGCATCTCCCAAGACCAAGGACTGGCAGCACGCTGTTCGTCTGGGTTTTTTGAACCAGGAGATTGGCGCTCCCGAGGATATCAGCTTGTCGGACTTGGACAAGTTGTTTAGTTAGTTCTGCTTGTATATTAGGGTTCGCCCGTTAGATTCTATTCAGTTCGTGATGGGTTTGTAGGGATGGGGCATAAGCTGTATTAGGTTAGGTGGAAGGCTATTGTGAAAGGATGGTTGGCAGTGGGGGAGATGGTGCAAGTGGTGAGATATATATTATTGTTGAATGTGAGGCTCTATGAATTGTTTAATTCGTGATAAGAGGATGAATTTATTTTGAAAAAAGCCCGGAGATGATGTTGAGCTAATTGTGACAGATATTCACGACAGTAGCATCTCCACTAGGGTTACATTTACTAGGCTTACACTACAGCTTTGAACTAAACAAAATGACGAGCAGATTGCATTATTTTCTCCAGATGACATGCAAATCATTCTTCTGTGGGATCTTCAAAAATTGCCATGTGGAAACATGGTAGGCTTCCCTGGCTGCAAGGTCTCTTTCGCTTGTTTAAACCTTGCATAAGTCAATGTGAAGCACGTTTGCAACCACACTTCAAAAAAGACAGTTTGAGGGAACGTCAGTTTGAGAATTTTTCCGAAATGGTCCTTAAGGTTAAATATAGAACTCTAGATGGCCAAATGGGTGCTCCGAGCGATTGCCCACTGGATAGATGTCCTCTGCTTTTACCAGTAACACAAGAATCATACTCTACCTCCACAACTCAAGCCAACAGGTACACCTTTCAACCCCACATATCAAACTATACCCCTTCATCCCCCTACACCCGCTGAACCCGACTTGTATTACGCACCCCATTCTATTACGCCGGCCAGAAGGCCAGACTATGCTATGTCAATCACCTCATCCACACCAATCACTCCAATCACGTCATGTAGTACTTGGGCCCGTCGCCGCCCTCGGGAACCTCCCAGTCGATATCCTGGGCAGGCACCTTGATGTCACACGTCTTGCAGTGGATGCAATTCTGCGAGTTGATGTTGAACTTCACCCCCAAGGGCTCCTCCTCGTCCTCAATGTACTCGTACACACCAGCAGGACAGAAGCGCTGCTCCACGCCTTTGTACTTGGGCCAGGAGAGCTCGGCGTGTTTTCTGTGGTTTTGCTGTGGGATCCGCAAGTGGCTGGGCTCCTCTTCCTGGTGGTAGGTGCCTGTTCTGGAGACGGAGGTCAAAATGTCAAAGGTGAGTTTTCCGTCCGGTTTGGGGTACTCGATCGGAGAAAAGTTCGATGCTGGCTGTGTCGCCTCGGCGTCCGTGTGCTTGTGAGATAAGGTCCAGGGCTCCTTTCCCTTGGAAAACATGGTGGTGAACCCAGAATGGGCCAAACCTCCCAAAAAGCCGAGCGGTCCGTTGAACGACGGCCTGACGTTTCGGATCTCGTGGAGCTCCTCGTACACCCACGACAGCTTGAGGCTCTCCTCGTACAGTGCAAGATCGAAGGCCTCCTCAAAGTCGGTTTCCTCATCTACGGGATCGAGTTCCTTGACAGCCTCGAATATGCTTTCTGCAGCGACCATGCCCAGCTTCATGGCCGTGTGGGTGCCCTTGATTTTGGGCACGTTCATGAAGCCAGCAGAACAGCCGATCAACACTCCGCCGGGGAAATGGAGTTTGGGAATCGACTGGAGTCCACCTTCGTTAAGCGCACGAGCTCCATACGAAACACACTCTCCGCCTTCAAGCACGTCGGCGTAGTAAGGGTGGGTTTTCATTTTCTGGAATTCCTGGTACGGCGAAATGTAAGGGTTGGCGTAATCGAGCCCCACCACAAGCCCCACAGCCACAAGGCCATCGCCAAAGTGGTACATGAAGCCTCCACCATAAACGTCCAGAGGCAACGGGAACCCCATGCTGTGGCCCACAAACCCCTCCTGGAACTTGTCGTCGCTGACTCGCCACACCTCCTTGATGCCAATGCCGTATGTCTGGGGATCACTGTCCTTTCTGAGATTGTACTTTTTCACTGCCTTCTTGGTGAGAGAACCATGGCACCCTTCGGCCAAAACGGTCTGTCTGGCGTGGAACTCCATACCTCTTTCAAACGACCCAAGAGGCGCTCCATCTTTGCCAATTCCAACATCCTTAGTAGCCACTCCCTTGACAGCTCCTCCGTCAGTATATACAAGCTCAGACACAGAAATACCCGGAAAAAGCTCCACGCCGAGCTCCTCGGCCTGCTCTGCAAGGTGCTGCACCACCTGGCTCA